AGGGTTTAGGGTTTAGGGGTTCGGTGCTGTTGGACGACGAAGATGCTGACGATGAGGATACACGGATGAGTCCGGATGAGGATGAAGATGCTGAAGCCTGAAGCTGATGGCGATGGCGGCGATGGTGCCGATGTTAGCAAACATGAAGATGAGGATGGCTATGAGCAGGCTATGAGGGTCAGCATCGGCATCGTCATGGTCATCGTCATCGTCGCCATCAACCTCACCATCATCCAAAATCCTTTGGCAATTGCTGGCCTGAGTGCTGGACGTGCTCGCAGGGGCTTCCGCAGCCATCAGAGATCCAAGCGTGAAGGATCTTGGCACAGAGCTGAGGCCCGAGCCGTGTCCAAGTCGCCGCGCAAGAAGAGAAGGAGCCGGTCCTGGGGATGTGGGGATGTGGGAAGGCGCCTTCGAGAAGCGTCCGCCAACTGAACAGCGGTCCAGGTGGTCTCCGCCCAGCTCTGTAAACTGCAAAGTCACGAAGCGCACCTTCCCCGATTTAGGCTGAGCATCTCGAGCTGCCCAAGCTGGAATCTTCCCGCCTGCGGGTCGAAGTTCATGAACTCGGGGGCCTGCTGAAACGGGGGCATCTACCTAAAGGCAACGACTGTTCAAACACAACATATGAGTCGGCCTCAAACTTACTTGTTCATGCTGGTTTGTTTTTGAATTAGCGCCTCCCCTATCGTTTTTCGAGGAATTCGCCTAGTGCACTTGCAGGGACCATCCCTCCGAACACAAAACGAACAAGCTAATTAGATTACTGCCTTTACAGCGCTTTACTGGCCTTTGCTGTTACTGCCCTTTACCGCCTTTAACTGCCGTTTACTGCCCTTTTCTGCCTTTCGCTGCCTTTTGCTGCCTTCTACTGCCTTCTCTGCCTTGTACTGCCCTTTACTGCCCTTTACTGCCTTTTACAGCCCTTTTCTGCCTTTCACTGTCTTCTACTGCCTTTTGCTGCCCTTTTCTGCCCGCTGCCTGTTGCTGCCCTTTACTGCCTTTTACTGCCCTTCACTGGCCCTCTACTTCCTTTTACTGCCTTCCACTGGTTTTCTTGCCTTTTGCCGTCCTTTACTGCCTTTACTGCCTTTTACTGCGTTCTACTGCCTTTTCCTGCCATTTGTTTCCCTGTACTGCCGTTTACTGCCTTTTGCTGCCCTTAAGTGCCCCGTACTGCGTTTTGCAGCCCTTTTCCGCCCGTACTGACAAGTCCAGATCAAGTGCGACAGGTACCTAAGTGAGCCATGGCCTTGTTTGGCAGGTTTTGGGCCCATTTGAGGTATCGACCGGTTATCCATCTGGTTATCGATCCACATCTGACATGAAACTTGAAGAACGTATGCGGCATAAGATTTCAGCGCACAAGTTAAGGGCAAGGCATCCTAAGTACAACATTAGTACTGGAAGTGCTCGTTTCGGATGCTCGCTGGATTGTGCTTGATTGTAGTGCAGCATTAGTACCGGAAGTGCCTCGTTTCGAAAGCTGGAGGGATTGTGCTTGATAGTAGTACAACATTAGTACTGGAAGTGCCTCGTTTTGGATGCTGGCTGGAATGTGCTGGATTGTAGTACAACATTAGTACTGGAAGTGCTTCGTTTCGCATGCAGGCTGGATTGTGCTTGATTGTAGTACAACATTGGTACTGGAAATGCCTCGTTTGGGGTCCTGGCTGGATTGTGCTGGGTTGCAATACAACTTTAGTAGTGGAGACGCCTCCTTTGGGGTCCTGGCTGGATTGTGCTTGGTTGTAGTACAAGTTTAGTACTGGAAATGCCTTGGCTGCAATTACAAAGCTTCTTCAGTGGATTCTCCCCGCCGAAGTGTGAAAACCTTATAAAAACCCGGAAGCCGCCAAACGTTATATAGTCCCTCATGGCTTGGGCGTGACCTAGTTCACAGTCCTGCTGTGGTTCTGCTCAGCTGTTTTCGCTCGTCGCAAAGCGCAGCAAGTTGTCTACCCTGATGCCAACAGCTATACACCCCTGGCTTGCTGCGGAAAAGTGCACGCCAATGAATCGACGGCTCACAAATGCAAGCATGAGTCTGGTGCAGAGACTTCCACATGTCGAATGCAGACTGTGGATGTCCCAAAAACTTGGTCCCTAAATCCGTAAGACTAGCGTTTCGGCACAGCGTGTGGGGCCTAAATCAAGAAGAAAAGTGTTTGGGACTAGTTTTGTAATGGCGTTTAGCCTGAACGCCCAAAGAATACTGTTTTCGAAGAGCGCTGCGGGCCCAACTCCGAAAGAATAGCGTTTAGGAAGCTCAGTGCGGGCACCTCTTCCATGCGGTTGGGGTCCCACAAGCCAAACCTGCTCAGCATGCTCTGCCCACGGAGGACACTTCATGGGACCTTCCTGGGACCTTCACTCTTGGGCGAAGAAAGCGAAGTTCTCCACGCTCAGCCTGTGGAGCCGGAAAAGGGCAGGCCAAAGGACGGCTTCACTGGATCTGGGACGTGGGCATTACGAGACCTCGCGCGATGTCGGTGTCCATGAAAGGTAGCTCGTCCCTGCAGCGCAAAACGACGGCAGGCTCTCCGGTCGGGCCCTTCGTCACAGGCCCTGTGCCACTGCCTCACGAGGCTCAGCTGGTTGATGTCGTCCTGCGCATCCGTAGTACAACATAATGCTGCTGTATCGTACTGCACCGCAGCTTACCGTACCGTACCATACTGCATCGGAACGTAACGCACGGCAGCGCACAGCACAGTACAGCACAGTACAGCACAGCGCAGCCCAGCAAAGCACAGCACAGCATGGTGTAGCGTAGTGTAGTGAAGTGAAGTGTAATATCATGTATAGTGTAATATCGGATAGTTTCGGTGTGGAGAATCTCGCTTGCGATTCCATGATGCCAGCTGGGCGAGCCTCAATAATAATAGTAGTAGTAATAGTACGTGCATAAGAACAGAAGACCAACAATAATAATCGTTATTACCCTATATAATCATAATCATAATCATAATCATGACCCACAATAATGAGAATAATAATGCTACTCATCATCATCATCATCATCACCATCACCACTACCATCACCATCATCATCATCACGGTAAAACTGTAATACTCATAACAGTATTAACAAATAATAACAAATAACAATAATAATAATCATCATCATCATCACCATCATCATCGTCATCACAGTTACAGTACTAGTAGTAGTAATAACAATAATGACAACAAGAATGGTATCGAAGTCTTGCATTTTCGTAGCAGACGAGCTGTACACGTGTTTTGCAACAGCAGTCTGTGCCGTGCGCTGTCAATGTTGCAGCAGCACTTCAAAGAGCACCCTGCTGTAGTAGCCTTGGTTAAATGCAATCGGCCGCCAAGCCTTCCAGCAAAGGAATTCCTTTCGGCGTTCCATCCATGAAATTGCTTAAAAGAATCCCAAAGTTACAGGGACACTTCAAAATCGTGCGAGCGAAGGTGGGTTTGAGACTTTGCCCATGCCGTCTCCAAGCAGCTTGGTCGACATCTTCGCCTAATTGCACCCGAGCTCTTCTCTGCATGCATCTCACCAAGGCCCAAAGTTCTGTACACGAGGCTTGGGAGCATTTGTGGAGGTCTGCTTGGCCTTCTCGCCCTTGGTCTTCAGGGCAGACTGAGCCGCGGCCAGCCTTGCGACGGGCACTCGAAATGGAGAGCAGCTAACATAGTCCAGACCGATGCGATCGCACACCTCGATGGAGGCCGGATCGCCGCCGTGCTCGCCGCAAATGCC